TAACAAGTTATCCTGCCGAGGAAATCCTCCTTGGAACCCATTGATTGCAAGACTATTCCCGTTAGGTACCTATATACCTACTCAAATTTTACATAATTCATTATTTATTATCAATTTATTGTTTGTATACATTTTATTTAATTAGTTTGCATTGTTTCACGCATTTTGATTTATGTTTGGTTGCTTTTATCCCGTTGTTTCTCCGATGAGTTTTGTAAAACCTGCAGATCTTGACATTTCGCCAAAATCGCATTTGGTATTTTCAAATCTTCTTCGGCGGTGTCTGGAATACAGACCATTTTGGCGAAACGTCATCATGAACCGTGTTTTTCTTAACGTTCGATTGAGAACCAACGGACGCACATCAAACATAATATACATATTGTCACGGCTCTGGGGTGCATGCCAGAAATCTTGAGTCCGTATATTTCAAAATCAAAGTCCAATTAACACAACAATAATTTATTCCACCTTACTATATGTACACTCTGACACTAATTACCTCACTAATTAACTCAAACAACTTAACTATTTACTTTACAACATTTACTATCTATATCATATCATAGCCAATCTTGAAACTAAAACTACCAACTAATACCGGCCTTTATATATCCGTAATCCATTCTCGTGAAATCCGGAATAAACGCGATAGCCTCCTTTCTTCAACAAGGCAGTATTTTCTGGAATTTTAGCCATGGATTCTGTATACCCTGGCGAAAGCGCACCGTCACACTGCCCTCCTTTTAGGGTTGATTGTCCCAATCAAGCCCATGATATTTCGTCAACTTTGATCCTACTCCTGGTGTTGCGCTGAACTCGATAAACCAAATCATTAATCCTCGTGATTATTCTGTAGGGTCCTTCCCATGCTGAAGAAAATGTCGGCACACTCCTTTCTTTCTTGTTGGAATATACAGCCACACCAAATCACATTCTTGAAATCCGGTTGACCAGTTGACTCGTGAACAGCTGCTCTGTAAGTAATTAAAAATAGAGGCAAGTGTTTGTCCCAGTCTCGCTGGTTCTTTGCGACCGCACTTTTGTCAGGTGTTCCTCTATGGTCTTATTAAATCGTTCTACCATGCCATCAGACTGTGGATGTTAAGGTGTTGTCCTTTTTTTACGAATGTCCGTGCCTGGGCAATAGTGATGGCTTCTTGATTGGGAATAGCGAAAACTTCTGGCCATTTACCGAAGCAATCCATGATAACCAAGATGTATTTGCTACCACGCTCTGACTCAGGGAACGCGAACGGTCCGGCAACATCTATATCGCTATTCTTTCAAATGGGAGTCCGACGTTATACTGTTTCATGGGCCCCCGAGATCTTAGTTTAGGGCCTTTACTGGTAGCACAGATGTCACATTTTCGAAAACAGTTTTTAACGTCTTCATGATAGTGAACCTAGTGAAAAAATTCTCGAATCTTATCCAAAGTCTTGTTAACTCCAAAATGTGCCCCTGAAATTCCGTCATGTATTTCTTTTAATGCATCATTTACTCGATCTTTTGGAATAACCGGTTGGCTCTTAGTAGATTTTCAATCGGCACTTTCCCAAATTCATTTCAGTAAACGATTTTCTACGGCCAGAGAGTTCCACCGAGCCCACAACGCCTTGTAAATCAAACTCTTATTCGACCCTTCCCTCCATTCTGGCCTTCATTCATTATTTTCTCTAAGATGTAGAAATTGCCGGATGCCCTGGTCTGCTTCTTGATCTGCTCTCCTTTGTTTGGTAGTCCATTTATCATCAACGATAAGACCCGTTCTTCTCACAGCTCGACCAGTGTTTATCTCATGCATATCGATTCTTTGACAATGCTTGCAGTCTTATTTACATGGTCGTTTAGACAGAGCGTCAGCATTTTTATGCAGGTTTCCAGGTCGATGTTCAATTTGGAAATCGTATTGCTTCAATTTCTCAATCCATCTGGCAAGCTGTCCTTCGAGAGTTTTAATTTCTAAAAGCCATTTTGAAGATGCGTGATTCGTGCGAATCAGAAACTCACGTCCGTAGAGATACTTATGGAAATGGTCGACTATTTTTACTATGGCAAGCAACTCTCTTTCAGTGACATAATAATTTCGTTCTGGCTTTGATAAGGTTCTACTGTAGTACTCTACGACATGCTCTTGTGAATTTTGAATTTGTGAAAGTACTGCTGGTGTTGCCTACATCTGTGTCCAAAATCAACATGCCCTTTTGATCGGGATGGGACAACACTCGGCTTCTATACAAATAGTCCTTTTAATTTTCTAAATGCAGAATCGCATTCTTAAGTCCTTAATTCTTAATAATGATTTTTCTTCCGTTAATCGATGAAGCGGAGCAGCTATATTGGCGAATTCTTCCACAAGTCTTCGATAATAAGAATATAATCCTAGAAACCTCCTTAGTCCATGTTTGTCGCGTGGTTTTGGACAATCCCTGATAGCATCCTTTTTTCCTTCCATAACTTGTATGCCATCTTCCGAGCCATCTTCAGATACCACGTGACCTAAGAATTCCACTTTCTTTTGAAATAGAAAACACCTATTTGGATTTAGTTTTAAGTAGGCATTCCGGAAGCGGTCAAAAACTTCTTTCAGGTTATTGAGATGATCTTGGAATTAATTGCCCAAGATCATGACATTATCTAAATATACAATATACCAGACAAGTTCTCCCTGTCAGACCTCGCAAAACTAGATGCATCAGTCGCTCAAACGTAGCGGGAGCATTAAACAATCCGAAAGGCATTACGTTAAACTGGTTTAACCCGCTTCCGGTACTAAAGGCAGTTTTCTCTTCGTCATCTTTGTATATTGCCACTTGCCAGTATCCACTCTTATATCCAAGGTGGAAAACCATTTGGAGCCCGATAGAGTTGTTAATGTATCGTCTATCCTCGGGAGAGGGAAGATGTCCTTCTTGGTGACGTCATTAAGCTTACGGTAGTCCACACAAAATCTGGGAGTTCCATCTTTCCTCGTAACCAATACTACTGGCGCAGACCACGGACTATTCGACTCTTCAATAATTCCCTCTTGAAGCATTTTATCAATGTGGTTTTCCACTTCCCGTTATTTAGCTATTGGCATACGTCGAGGTTGTTGTCTAATTGGGTGTGCCAATCCAGTATCAATTTTGTGTTAAGTTAAACTGGTATGTCCGGTTTGATTATCCATCACAAATACGTCCGCTCCTTTCAAGATGAAATCCGTGGTCTCTTGAAGTTTATCTGGATCGAGGTGTTTTCATGATTTCTCCAAAGTCTGCATCAAGGTGTCTGTATCCAATTTCGGTTTTACAAAATGTCGCTTATCTGGTAGGTCACAGTTTGATATTTGCTTAAGGGGTTCGAGAGTTCCAATAATATATCCGTCCTTTATTTTCACTGTTTCAAGAAACATTGCCAATTCTTATCATAATGTCTCCCATTTGTTCTTACTAGAGTCTTTCCAAAGAGCAATTTTTCTGTAGTTTTCCAAGGTCTTCTTGTTGTTGCCTAGCCTCTTCTTGTTGTCGCCTATCTTCCTCTTCTTGTTTTTCTTTTTGTCACCTGGGCTGGGACTCTGTAACGAATGGAGATATTTTCTCTATCTCTACTGACGTCTTCTCTCTATTGATTTCGACAAGAGAGAAGAAGACAGCAAGTGCCATGGCGATAGGGATAACGATCTCTATCTCTATCCGTTACAGAGTTCCAGCCCTGGCCTCTTCGTCTTGCTTTTCTTGTTATCGTTTGGTCTCTTGAAGTTCCAACATTTTGTGCAGACATTCTTCAATTTTTTTTGTTCTTCCATTTTTGCTTGTTGTCTCGTAATAGGCATATACAGAATGTTCTGGAATTTCCCTCAAAATCTTTTCAAATATATTTCCTGGTTTTTGATTGAAGTTCCAAACACTTCGGTGTCACAAATTGGATAACTTGCTTTATTCTCGAATAGAATATTCTAGAATTTTCTTGAAATGTCTTTTCTGAACATCAATTGATATAGCAAACACGTCGGTGAAGTCACAAATTCGATATCTCCCTTGGTTTCCAGATATAATTTTCTAGAACTTGAAAATTCACTATCACAGTCAAAATCGGGTGTACATTCATTTCCGGGGTAATTCACGCAATCGGTCAAGTCTCTTCTAGTGATTGTCACTGCTTACACTGACTGACTGTCCCAGTGTTTACTAGTGTCACACTAGTGTTCGAAGTAGTCCGCACTTTTCTGCAATCGGATTTCATGTTGCAGTCCTCGAATCATATTTCACTTCTGACACCAATGTCACGGCTCTGGGGTGACAGAAATCTTGGGTCCGTTTATTTCAGAATCAATCAATCAAAATCAATGTCCAATTAACACAACTAGTATATTATGATATAAGTGTATAAGAGGGCCTTTGAAGCACGCGTGACATATTTCAAAACACGACGCGCAGCGGAGTGTGTTGTAAGTCGCAAGGGCTTTAAAGGCCCTCTTATACACACATATCATACGCTATTTTTTATTACAAATGCATCATAATGTTAAAAATGTTTTAAATGTGTTCATTCATTTTGATAAATAGTAATTTAAAGGGCAGGTAAATATCTAGGTAATGAAGGTAGATATAACGTTTCTAAAGCAAACCTTTGGAAAGGTAGGCGCATCATAAACATCATTTTCTGCACGCTGCAGCGTGCGATAATCGTTGATTATGATGCATGCGTAATAAAAAATAATTTATTCCACGTTACTATACACTCTGAGACTAATTACTTCACTAATTAACTCAAACAACTTAACTGTTTACAACTTTATAATATTCACTATCTAAATCATATCACAGCCAATCTCAAAACTATTACTACTAATATCGGCCTTTATATATCCGTAATCCATTCTTGTAAAATCCAGAATAAACGCGATAGCCTCTTTTCTTGAACATGGCAGTATTTTCTGGATTTTTATCGTCACAATATTTCTTAATTTATATTTTTATTGCACACAGCTTGAAAAAAATTAATAACTAATTCTAGATGCTTCTTCCTCCAACGAAGCTGTTCATCTTCAACAGCGCCTGCGCAGCTTAAGCACAGAACTAGTTACCCTAAGGAACAGGTTACACGTACAGGGCGGTCAACAAACTACCATTAAAGGAGGTAGTGCCAGTAGTGGTGGTGTTGCAACGAGCGGTACATCAACACAAAATTCGAAAATAGCCAGCACAAATAATGCACGACAACCCCATATACCTCCTAGAAGAGGACAAATTAATGCACCTGCGCCAGTGGTGGTGAGTTTTGAGATTCTATCTAACCAGCAAATAATGTATAATGTATTATTTTTATTCAGGCATTATCGGGGCCTAAATCAAGCCCTACCACAATTATTCAACCTCCTAAGAACAATGCAACTGTTGCTATCGAGGACCTCATACACCTTCCAGGTCCACTTACAGAGGATGCTGTTATGAAATGTCTTCAGGCTCGATTTGCAGCTAATCAGTTTTACGTAAGTTTCTTTATGTCCGATTGATCAATAAAGTACTATTTATAGAACAGCTTTGCGTCAATAAAGTAGCACTTTATTGTACTAGTAAAATAAAGTGCTACTTTATTTTACTAGTAAAATAAAGTGCTACTTTATTGCCTATCTGGACTACCTGACAAGGTGAAACAGGTCCTGACAACCTGCCAAGGTGAAACAGGTCCTGACAACCTGCCAAGGTGAAACAGGTATACCTACGCGAATTTTACTTTTTTCATTAAATTTTTTTAATTTTTAACAAAAACCAGTCGTAATCGTACAGGGTATTTGATTATATTTTGCACCATACCTACAGCCTTTACTATTTAAGATAGAAAAAAATTTTAAATACAAAACTTGACAGTTTTTTTCTATATTTTCTGATAACGTTATCAGAAAAAACATAATCGCATCGGAAAATGGAGAAACGTAAGCAACTTAGACTTTTTTAATGGAACACCCTGTATATTATGCGATAAAATGGAAGATCTATTCTTTCTGATTTCAAATATATATATATTGATAACATTTGTGTGAACAATTTTTGACATATCTCAGGTTAAATTATAAAGAATTTGCAGAGAAGTTCCATAAGGATCTCTATCTTCATGAAATTTCTTTGTAATTTAGTTATAATTTAAGCTAAGATATGTCAAAAATGGCGGACGCAAATGTGGTCAACATATATATATTTGTAATCAGGAAGAAAAGGTCTTTCATTTTATCGTAAAATATACAGGGTGTTCAATTTAAAAAAGTCGAAGCTGTCTACGTTTCTCCATTTTCCGATGCGATTTTATTTTTTCTGATAATGTTATCAGAAAATATAGAAAAAAACTGTCAAGTTTTGTATTTTAAATTTTTTTCTATCTTAAATAGTAAAGGCTGTAGGTATGGTGCAAAATATAATCAAATACCCTGTACATAAAATCATGTATATAACGCTTACATAAACAGGCTTTATTGACTCATTATTTAATAGCCTCGCTCGCAAGCTCGCTCGGCCATAAAATTATTCGTACAATAAAGCCTTACTTTATGTACTTGTTATATAAATAGCTATTATTCGCTAAAACTCTTTTATATATTCTTATCTAATATAGCTTAATGGATCGATATCTAATAATAAAACGACAGTAACTTTTTGCCTTATGGTTGAGCCATTTGAGATCGATATAAAGTCATTTAGATAGAAAGCTTACCAAGAAAGGCGAAACAAGTCAATAGCTCAATGTCCGGTAATTGGACAATTCTAACTCGCCTATTTTCAAAGGGCAGTGTCAGTGCTACCAATTTTCTAAAGTATCTCTTATAGAAAACGTTTCAAAATACCACCAACTGCATCACAATCACGACTTCAGTATTTTATATTTATTTTTACTGGCTAGCACGATTTTGTTGGCATGTGCAACAGCAAGAACTGACTTGTAGATTCTGAAAAACATATCTTGTATGATTTGAAATAATTTTGATTTGAAGGATCTAAGAAAATTCGTTTACCACAACACATCTATATAAAAATTAATGCCACTTTTCGTTGTAATTTTATAACTCAAGAACGGGCTCACCTAGCCAAACCAAATGTTTAGGCTTTGTTCGGACTATTTATTAGATGGTTTATGTGAAGTTTGCACAAAATCGGTCGAGCGGTTCTTCATTTATCACATACGTTAACACAACATTTAATAGGTACTTAACTCAGAGATATTTAATAATTCAGAGGCGGTACGAAGTTCGCCGGGTCAGCTAGTTTGTTATAATATAAAAATATACGTTCCAGTTAGGTACCTACATACTGCACATAGTAAGTAGTAATTATCATTTCTGGCAATGACCTCATAATTAATATTATCATCAGACTATGAATTATTCAGGAATGCCTTTTGCAGCCTCCTTATTGATTATTATCAAGAGATGGGTATTATATCTACCTACCGACATATTACGGGTACCTACTTTATAAATTATTTGAATTGATGTTCCCTTGTGGTTCCAAAATCCCTTGGTCACAATATGTATCTTTTATCTTTAACATCTATGCTTCCTTATGATAACAAAGAATTAGGATGTTGGTGAAGGAATAATTATGTCCCACCAATTCTAGAATAAAATCTTTTTTTCTAGACCAACGTAGGACCAATAATTCTCTGCGTAAACCCCTACAGGGATGTAGGAAATCCACTCACCCTAAATAGTACCAGAACTCTAGCTTTAAGTCCTCAACTAACTAAAGTTGTACAAGAGGCTGTCAGACAGCAATCAGAAACTGGATATCCGCAAGCAATCATACTGTCGGGTAAGTGAAGATAGACAATAGAAATTTTGCTAAAATAATCAAGTTTCTAGTAACATTTTTCCATTTCAATCTTTTAACGTTATTTTCACATATGCCGGCGATAGAATCATAGTTAAAGATCGCGTACATCGTGGGCGCGAAAAGTTGATTTGGCCTGTTAAAGTAATTTTACTTTAAAGATTGAAGTAATAAACTGGTAATTTGCCATCTTTGACATGATTTTCATTTTCGAATAAAATAATGGAACAATCCTCGGACATCGCTGCAACGTCACCGGTTGACTACTAAACTAGATTTTTCGTCTTGCCTACTTGGCGACCAAGGTGCTTTGGGTTGCGATAATTCAAATAGCGCCGACTAGAATTTCGCCATTGCGTTTATTTGAAACAACAACGCAAAAATCACGACAATATTAGCACTCTTACAACACTTGGAATCACTCAAAACACCCAACTAAGTATCCAAAAATCAACTCGTTCGATTCACAAATAACTAAGCTGATGAAAAGGCGGACTTTTTGTACTTTTATTCCACTCCGATCCTTCTGTGATTTTCGAGATCAGCGTCATCGCTGGGGACCGCATTGTTGCCAGATGGTGCCCAATTTCCCCAACTTAGTGGAAACGTAAATTTGGCAACGTAGTTTTTTTTAAATTTATTTTTCAAAAAGTATAGCTTTCCGAACGTGAAATTTTAGGTATAATAGGGTACCGGTAAGGGACTAAAAGTTCAATTCCGACCTCAAATCGACCGAAATTTAATTTCTCATTTTAGTCGAAGGTCGATTGTCAGGAACACCTATACCGACGTCGTATGCCTACGGCAGATCGAGACCTACCACGTCGCCTGCCGATATCGGGTACTTCGTACTTCTTACTATTTTAACGTAATATTCTGTTAAACGGAGTCGGATTATTACTTGGGCGATATCACCAATTATTTCACCTATCATAAATTTAACATAATATAGAAAAATGCTAAGAATTTTTAAATCAAGTATAGAAACATCTTTGTTGAATTTATTCAACCCAGTTTGTATGTTGAAAGGTACTTATAGGCGCAAGAAAAAAATGGGGTAATATCAGCAGCTCCAGTCTAAGTACACATGCATTTTTGTCATTTTGTTCATTATTATAATTTATCTTTTTCAAGGAACAAGTGGCTCAGGAAAAAGCCACACATCAATGCTTCTATTAAGACAGTTATTTGAAATAGCTGGAGGAGGTCCTGAAACTGACGCCTTTAAACATTTGGCTGCTGCATTTACCGTACTGAGGTCTTTAGGATCTGCCAAAACATTAACAAATTCAGAGTCAAGTAGAATAGTAAGCCATGAGTCTTGCTACCCATCATATTTTATTTTCTACTTTAATTTGTCCCTAGGGTCAGTTCATCGAAGTCCAAGTGACAGATGGAGCACTATATCGGACAAAAATCCATTGCTACTTCCTCGACCAGACTAGAGTCATAAAGCCGTTACCAGGTGAAAAAAATTACCATATTTTTTACCAAATGCTTGCCGGACTTTCAGCTGAGGAAAGGACCAAATTGAACTTGGACGGACATAAACCTTCTACTTTAAAGTATATGCAATATGGAGATGTTAAACAGGATGTTGCGGAAGATGCAACAAGGCATGTGTGATTTCTAAGAAATGTTGATGATTTATTTATTTTTTTGATATTTTTTTAGGTTTCAAGCATGGAAAACTTGCCTGGGAGTGCTTGGTATTCCTTTTTTAGACGTAGTAAGAGTATTAGCAGCTGTCTTGTTGTTAGGAAACGTGCAATTTTCAGACGGAAAAGGTACAATCATGTTTTTTTAATAAAGTCTAAATGAAATGTAAACATAATAGTAGCACTCTGCGACCAATTAATAGATTATACCTAATGTTGAAAATCAACATACGTTTAAGGAACAGAAGAAAAAAAAGGTTAAGAGGTTTGTTATTTTATGAGAGCAGGTGTCACAAAATAGTTTAGTATAATTGATATACATTAGTACAGTTGAGGCTATGAGAAATGAGCAAACTCAAACTGGATATCCTAGGTGTCGCTGAAACCTGGTGGCCTAGTGTAGGAAGGGCAATGTGGATAACGGAGTATTCTTCTACTCTGGTAATGACGATCCAAAACATAGAAAAGGTGTGTGAATTGTTATAACAAAAGAACTTGTGGAATCTGTCATGGACTTTGTTCCATACTTGGACCGCACTGCTTTATTGAAAGCGATCTTAATATAATACATAATACGCACCAATTGCGGACTCGTCGGACTATGATAAGAAATATAATGATGGAGTCAAGGAATTGCTAAAATCGACTAAAAAATATGACGTCAAGGAACGAGAAGGGTGATCGACTCTTACAATTCTGCCAGGAGGAAAGCATGAAAGTGACAAATTTCTGGTATCAACTTCACCCTCGCCGACTCTATACCTGGAAGTCCCCTATACCGTTCATACAATGTAGTGTGAAACCAACTAGATTTCATCCTGATCAACCAAAGATTCAGCTCAACCATAAAGAGAGCCGGCACATAACCTGGGGTAGATGTGCCTTCTGTAAGCGATGATGTTGAATAGTTCTCACCTTGTGCCTTGTGCTGTGCTGGCGCTTTGGCCCGAGTTCCAAGCGAACCCTGCGTCCCCGTTATAAGTTCTGGTGAACCCGCCTACGTTACGTTTCTATGACAGGTACCAGGATGTTAAACAGGCATCCATCATGACATAGTTCGGGGACGCGTTCGATCACTATCTTTACGCCACATCCCCCTTTTGGGAGCACACTGGGAACACACTGTTTCATTGTCTAACTGTTATTTTTAAAAAACGCACTAAAACAACTATCAATGCAACTATTAAATGTTAATGCAAATTTACTGATAGTTCAAGTTCAATGTCTAACTGTTAATGTTCAACTTCACTAAAACTACTATTAACTCGTTTACAGATAATTTTGCTTGAGCAATTCTCTCTATCTTTCAGTGTTGACAACCAACAGGGTCATCTACACAACCACAACGCGGAGGTCTACTAACACGACCAAAACGCCTAGTAGTCTCTCTAGATCGTGTCATACATGCATTAGAGCTTTTGCCCCTAGGCCTGCCTCTTAGTGTTATAGACTGCTGAGGTCTCAGTACCTTGTTCTCTGCGTTGTCTTCGTTATCTTCTTCACTCCCTTCTTCGCTTTCTTCTTCGTTGCCTTCCTCTGTCTCCTCGTATTCTGCGCTTCCTTCTCCGTTATTTTCCTCTGTCTTCACTTAAAGGAAAAGTCTGGCTTGGACAAGGGTTTGAATGAAAGATATCTGCAGGCAAATCGACCACAATTTTTATGTCAACTGGAGCGTTTTTCCCTCTGCAAGAACTAGGTGATGTCTGTTTCTTCGATATGCCTGATTATTATCTGCCACAACCACATATGATCTAGGTTCTGGCCCAATATTAACAATTTTTCCGAAACATTTTTGGTTGGTGATCCATACTCTGTCATTAATTTTTAAAGGGTTGACATTTAACACTTTGTAGTATCGGTTGTAATTTTCAGCTAGTTTATCTATCTCCATCTCTCTTTTGTTTTTAAAACCTTTGATATAGTTTTCTTTTCAGCTAAGGAACTGATGACCTAGGCGTTCTGCCCATGATTAATTCAGCAGGACTATATCCACACTCAAGTTTTGTAGTTCTGTATTGTAATAATCCCAAATTTGGGTCTTTGTTTTTGAGTAGAATTTTCTTAGCAATTTTGACTCCAGATTCTGCTTGCCCATTTGACTGAGCAAAAGTTGGGCTGCTGGTGCAATGACAAAAAACATATTCCTTAGCATATTCTATGAATTCGTAAGCCTTAAAACACGGCCCATTGTCCGATCTAACTATTTCTGGAATTCCTTACCGAGCCATGAAATTTTTCATTTTGGATATAACTTCTTTTGCCGTTTGCGTTTGAAGGTGAGCAGCTTCGATGTATTTAGAAAAATAGTCAATTACTACTAGAAAGTTACGTCCATGAACCTCATATAAATCAGCCCCAATTTTTTGATACGGATATTCTGGAACGGAACTAGGTATGAGGCGGTCGGTAGGCATACTTCGATAGTTTATACACACATCACATTTCGCCACCTGGTCACAAATCTGACTACTCAATCCAGGCCACCAAACAGATTCTTTGGCTCTGTTTCTGCATTTGGCTATACCAAAATGTCCCTCGTGAAAGTTTTTCAAGTATTTCTGCTCTCATTCCTGCGGTTATGTAAATGCTATTTGACTTTGTGATGATACCATTTTGAATCGTCATTTCTCCTCGATATTGGTAAAATATTATGTCTTCATTGATGAGGTCTGTTACTTTATTGGGCCATCCATTTAAAATGAAAATTACCAATCTAATACTTTGTTTGTCTTTGCCATGAGCATCTAAAATCTTTTTCAACTTTTCCTCTAAAATAGGTAAATTTTGGTAAATATAATCCACAAAAACATCATCTATTTCATTGTTTGTGGACTCTATTGGGGCTCTAGATAGCATATCCGGAACTATCATTAACTTGCCAGGTATATATTCAACTGCATAGCTGAACTGCATTAACCTCATACGGAAACACTGTATTCTGGCTGGAAGGTCAATTAAAGGTTTAGTACCAAAAAGCTCCACCAACTGTTTATGATAGGTCAAGATCACAAAATTTGGGCCTATCAAATACTGTCTAAATTTTTCACAGGCCCACGTTGAAGCCAGCGCTTCTTTTTCCACCTGCGCATATCGCTTTTCAGTGTCTGATAGCGTTCTCTGAACGCCAAGGTTGATCGCCATTCCGTTGTTCTAAAATTGCACCTAAACCATAAGAGGATGCGTCAGCTGCTACTCTGGTTGGACGCCTAGGTGCAAAATGTGCCAACATTGGCGCCGTCGTAAGTGCTATTTTTTAATTTTTAGAAAAGCCTGTTCGTGGACTTCATTCCAGCAAAACTCAGAATTTTTAGCTAAAAGTTGATTTAAAGGATTAGCAAGGTCTGACAGATTGGGAATAAATTTTGCGTGCATCTGAAGAGATCCCAATATTTTCCTCACATCACTGATATCAGTCGGCTTTGTCATTTATAGTTTATAGAAATACCTGATGCAGAATATTATCGGAAGGTTCTGATCCTTCATTTTGGTCCTCTTTGTCATTATTCATTTTGCTAAACTTCCTTGAACGCACTTATTTAGCAGTTGCTTCTGAAATAGTTCCACAAGGATGATCTTCGACCGGAGCTTTTTTTACTTTTCATACTTAATCCCACCGCTGCCACTATGTAGCGATGATGTTGAATAGTTCTCACCTTCTGCCTTGTGCTGTGCTGGAGCTTTGGCCCGAGTTCCAAGCGAACCCTGCGTGCCCGTCATGAGTTCTGCTGTTTTTCCTGTTGACGTTACCTTGCCTCCCAGAACCCCGCCTACGTTACGTTTCTATGACAGGTACCAGGATGTTAAACAGGCATCCATCATGACATAGTTCAGGGACCCGTTCGATCACTATCTTTACGCCACATCTTCTGACCATGTACCGTGGCCGTCTTGAAAATGTCTCTATCAACTCAAAGAAAGCCAACCACACAGCGACGAGTGGCGTCAGAAAAATTGAGGTACCCAACAATAAAATCTGAAATGTGTAATAAGATAAACACACAAATACAAACAATAACATCGAATATTGGAGAAGAGCCAACACAAGCCTGGACAAAGATAATGGACATTGCAACAAACTCATTGCAAAACAGATTATGATATAAGGCAAAAAACAAAAAACAAAAATGGATGACGGATGAGATTTTTTTGTTTATGGATGAACGTCGAAAGAACAAGAACAAAACAGACAGCAACGTGTACAAGGATATTCAAAGACTCATAAGATCAAAGATTGGAATAGCAAAGAACGAATGATGCTCAGAGATAGAGCATCTGCAAAATCAGCACGATTTCTTTAATCTGTACAAAAAACTGAAGGAAACTGCCGGCATATATAAATAAATGAGACCAACTATAACAGTAAATAATAATAATCAGATAGTCCTCGAAAGCAAAAAGAAGAACAATGTTTGGGAAATATATATTGAAGAACTTTTGGATGACGACAGACCCGCAGCTGGTATCAATAACTCTAACCAGTCCATCGATCACTAAGGACGAGATTGAAAGTGCCATACGTAATTCAAAAAATAACAAAAGGCCCAGATGAAATCCATTCAGACATACTTAACCCTTGGGCAGGCGCGCATTTGAAAATCCCATTAGCGGGCGCGCTGCGGCACTGCGTGCCGCCAGCAGAAAAATGTACGAAATAATTTAAAACATCAAAATTTATTTTTAAATAGAGTAAAAAAATAGAATAGGTTGTAATTCTAGGCAACTAAATGAAATCTTTTATACTAATTTCGCAAAAATACAAAAATAATATTCATAATATTTGTACTATTCCCCCTTAAATTCTACTTACATGACCAGGCGCGCTGGCGGCACGGAATGCCGAAAACGCAACACCTGCAAGTTCAAGAACTTACTGACATCTGCACAAACCGATCGTGCACATGTGGTCTATATCTACGAACTATCCTATTGATATTAACTTGGTTAGTTGAGGCCAAGTTTAATTGTGCGGACCATTATTTGAGCATATTGTCTATGTAGAGACTTGACTTTATAGATGTGAACATAAAGTGTTCCTACATCCTTTACTCTTATGCAAATTCAATCGTTTGAGTAGGTACCAATTTATTTTACTTTGTGTCTACTTATTCCTGTAACTAATTTTTAGAGCATATTTTATGATAGCCCTTCCCCTATCCTCCTCCTTTGAACTAAAGTACCTATGTAGTTCAATATTCTGGCTCCATGTCTTTGTTCCATATTGAATAAATCCAGGCTTTTTTACCTGGATGATGAATAACGGTCAGGAATCTAATGTGTTACTAATTTCCAACCTTCTAACTTCACCTTCACTTTACTAATTTTTTGAAAAATTATTTCAGCCATTGAAGTCGATGTTAGAGGTGAAACTGAACTAAACGCTGTTGCAGCTTTATTAGGAGTATCTGGTGCTGCCCTGTTTAGGGGTTTAACATCTAGAACTCACAATGCTAGAGGACAACTTGTAAAATCGGTAAAATCAGTGTAACCCAATTCAGAAAAGGAAAAATTTCACAAATTTCATTTCAGGTATGTGATGCCAACATGTCAAACATGACCAGAGATTGTTTGGCAAAAGCTTTGTATTGTAGAACAGTGGCTACTATTGTACGAAGAGCTAATAGCCTTAAGCGGCTTGGATCAACATTGGGCACCCTAAGTTCGGATTCAAATGAGTCTGTTCATAATCAAGCAGAAGTAATTGTTTTTGTATTGATCATACTAAATTATTAATGATTAATTTTAGGTTACCAGTCAACATGCTTCCACGGTAGGTAACGGCAGTAATTCGGCCGGTAACAAATCAATGGTAGCTCTAAACAATGCCGTCAGACATGCTACCACTGATGGCTTTATTGGTATTTTGGATATGTTTGGATTCGAAGATCCAAAACCTGCACAGTTAGAACATTTGTGCATAAATCTTTGCGCTGAAACTATGCAACATTTTTATAATACCCATATTTTCAAGTCAAGTATAGAATCTTGTAGAGATGAAGGTGTAAGCTGTGAAGTTGAAGTCGATTATGTGGATAATGTTCCTTGCATAGATTTAGTTTCTTCGCTTAGGACTGGATTGCTGAGTATGCTGGATGTTGAGTGCTCAATAAGAGGAACTGCTGAATCCTATATTGCAAAAATTAAGGTATTCTAATTAACAAAGCATAATCTGTCATGCATTAATAATATTCTTTTTAGGTTCAGCATAAAAGCAACAAACGCCTATTTGACCAAAAGACTATCGACCCTCGGCTCTTCGGTATCCAACATTTTGCCGGTAGAGTCATCTATGATGCAGCAGACTTTTTGGATACCAACAAAGATGTAGTTCCTGACGATTTAGTAGCTGTATTTTACAAACAGACTTGCAACTTTGGATTTGCGACTCATCTCTTTGGTAGTGAACTAAAAGCATTGTATTCTGTTGAGAATGTACCTAGGGGCGTTAGTTTCAGGTAATGATTTTTTTCTAGGAAATTGATACAGATATTTAGGTACACACAACACTAATTTTTGAGAAGAAAAAAAAAAAAAACAGAATAGAATTATAAAATAGCTATTTTCCTAACGAGTGCGGGAAGAGAAATTTCCGGCACGAGGGCGCTTCGCACCCTCGTGCCGGAAATTTCTTCCCGCAAGAGTTAGGAACTATATTTTTTCTACGAGCATACTGAAGCTGATGTTACGAAGAGTTTAATTTAAATAAAATGCGATCATGCAGAAGGTAGAATTAAAAATGTATTAAAAGGTATTTATAAAAAGGTAAAGGTACAGGTATAGGTGTATCAACAATACAAACAATTCCATGTCACAATGATTATTTCAAACTCTTCCCGCACTGAGTGCGGGAAGAAATCTCTTCCCGCACCGGTGCGGGAAGAAAGTCTTCCCGCATAGCAAATCGTGCGGGAAGAGCCATTTCCCGCACGCTCGTAGAAAAAAATTGTTATTGCAACCTACGATGAAATGCTTCTTTGTTATCTGGCAACTATCTATATTTTTATGGAGCCGTGTGTCGATCTCAATAACATCTGCATAACTTTTCTGTGATAGTGGGGCTGTTAGTGTATCCAACCTTTAATTTCAACCTGACGGGTTGCGCTTTTGCATAGTACATGTCCTAACGTAACTTTTAAGAAGTGTTGCCACGGTGGCGCCAGGCAGTGGTGCCACGTGGGAGGGGCGGTTGCCTACCTCTCAGGCGCAAACTCCAGAATCCATCGTAAATCGGCCCATTGCGTGAGAACCAAGTGTCGGACGATGACGGGGGTAGTCTCGTTGGATTCAGCACACTCGAAAACATGAAGAGTCGTCATTGGTTCACCCCCCACTCCCCCCGCTTGCGACCTGGGATACGAAATACGCGCGAAGTAGGGGCGGGCGATGCAACTTAATTCGGAGCAAATGCAGGGTAAAGCACGGTCGCGTAGAATGTCCGCGCAGTAGTGATAGGTCATAACACCACAAGTAAATATAAAAACAACGCACAAGATGTATGATACACCTACCCGTTAAAACGTGCATCGCCCGCCCCTACTTCGCGCGTATTTCGTATCACAGGTCGCAAGGGGGGGAATGGGGGGTGAACCAATGACGACTCTCCATGTTTTCGAGTGTGCTGAATCCAACGAGACCACCCACGTCATCGTCCGACACTTGGTTCTCACGCAATGGGCCGATTTACGATGGATTCTGGAGTTTGCGCCTGGAAAGTAGGCAACCGCCCCTCCCAGGCGCCAGGCAGTGGTGCCACCGTGGCAACACTTCTTAAAAGTTACCTTAGGACATGTACTAAACGTGTACAAAAGCACAACCCGTCAGGTTGAAATTAAAGGTTTGCCTAGATATCGTGCACTAACAGCCCCACTAGACGGCGCCGAAATTTGCTTCTCTTTTTCCTTGTCTTTGATATTTTATTCACACTAATTTATTTATTCCGATTTTTGTAGAATATCTCCAACTTCTCACACGGATCTCCTGAATGGGGATGAACCAGTGTCAACGCTAACTCAAGATTTCCATACGCGTTTGGATAATTTATTGCGTACTCTGGTACATGCCAGACCTCATTTTGTCCGGTGTATTTGTAGTAATAACCAAGAAGTTACAAACTCTTTTGACAGGGGAATTGTTGTTAGACAAATCCGGTCTCTTCAAGTATTGGAGACTGTTAATTTGATGGCTGGAGGTAAGTAGGCGATCCTAGTTCCTTTTTTTTTTAAATTAAATTTTTGTTATAATTTTAGGTTTTCCTCATCGCATGCGTTATAAGGCATTCAATTCTCGATACCGTCTTCTAGCACCATTTGCTGAATTAAACCGTACTGAAGAGAAAGTGACTGATGATTGTAAAACCATTTTACAATACGCTAATGATTTGTTAGCCAAAAGAGAGGTGTGAAAATAAATCTACCTATATATATTTATCTGAAACTAATGGATCAATAAATTTAATTTCTAGGTCGTCAGTGGCGTTTCTACAAGTTGGGCCTTGGGTAAACGACACATATTTTTAAGTGAGGGCATAAGACAGCTACTAGAAAAGCTTCGCAATGAAACTAGAAAGAAAGCTGCCACTTTAATTCAATCCACATGGAGAGGCTGGAGATACCGGTAAGACTTTTTTGAAATATTAAAGCAAAATAAATATTGAATCACATTTTAGTTACCGCTGGACTACTCTCAGACGAGACAAAACTCCAGAAAAAATAACTTCAATGGCATCAACTAAAGCAGTACCGGCCCGAACCGGAGTACCACCAGGTACTAGACCTAGACCTCAACCTATAGCTGGAACACCACCTCCAGATATGACGGAAAAATGTGATGCAAAAATTATACAGCAAACTTGTAACCTCTTTGGATTGAATTTGGAACGACCTCCTCCAGTACCACCTAGTAGATCGTATACTGTAACTGGAAATACGAAATTGGGTTATCCTCAAACGCGTGTGATGAAAATGTCATATCCCGAAGACACTTCTGGAGAAGGGCCTATATTCCTAAAAGGTGAAACAGTACTAGTTGTAGGTGCTTCTCAAAGAAGGGGACATTTGATAGTTGAACATAAAAACCATACCTTACATGTGCCTTTTCAGTTTATGGAACTAAAACCATCTTTAAATATTTAATATGCCATACATGGTTTTTAAGGTGCTCCCATACTTTTAAGTGTTGCAGATAGGTACCTACCTATTTACCTAGGTACATTGTTTTAGAAAATGTGCATGCATTTGGTCGTTAAGATTTTTATGTATAAGTCATTTATTTTTATAGCTGCTAAGCTACAATTAAAAACAATTTCATTTTCATGGTGCTAACTTTCAAGTTTGAAAATTGAAGAAAACTTATTTATGATTAATATCACTTGATTTCATATCAGATATTTTCATCCATATCTTGTACAAAACATCGTAGTTTAATAGTTTTAATGTGTACTGTTTTTAGGTTTATAAGGATTATAGATTTAAAAATTCTGAACTTGCCATTTCCCATTTTTGTTAATACCTATAAAGTAAGATTTATTTATCGTAATTTTTAAAAGTAGAATAGTTTGCTACAAGAAAAAGTATTTTAGTTATTAAATATTTTTTATACAGTAGGTACTTATGCAGTTTATTTCTGTCAAATCCTGATTTATTTACATCATTCAGAAATTATGCGTAGATACCAGATTAGATATCAATTTCGATTCTTTGTGGATTTTTCTTTTTTCTTTGATTCTGGTTGCTTTTCCTCAGACTCGTTTGGATCCACGTTACCTCCGGATGAAGCTAAGCTCAAATCAGCCTCTAAAATTGACAAGATAAAAACGAGTATAAAGACATAAAAAGACAAACCTTCAAAAAATAACGGTTCTCCATCCACAAGGTTATTATTTTCAGGATACAAGCCCACCGAATTTTGACATTCAACATTATACCACCAATCACACACAAGATGGCGTTGATTAAATACACTACCAATAGGACAGAGAAATGAAAGCTTTGAGTATTGTGTTTCGCAGATGTGAAATACCTGAAATATTTATATTCACAGCTTTTGGAAGCTTGCTTAACTTAAAATACTTATGTGTCGACTAATCTTGATTTTAATAGAAGTTTGTACCTGGCAATCCGTCTCCAAGTCAGCATAATAGTTCCAATTGAGCTTTCCAAGACATGAAAATGCGGTTTTAGGTATTTGACGAAAAGTTGGATATATGCCTGGTAAGAATTCTTCTGCGTCCTCTCCATTTTCAGATTCAACGTCCAAGTCTATATCCTAAATAAGTTAACAATAATTATCAAGGTAGCGTGCATAGGTAAGTTAAGTCAGTTTTTATAAGAAAAATGGAAAGTTAAAATTAGGATCTAGTTGGACGCGTGGTATTTTTCTTGGCTGTGTCGGTAGGTATGCCTCTGACTTCTGAATTACCTAATAGTTTGATTTAAAATATTCGGCATCCTGACTTAAATAGTGCTAGAACACATAGATCGCCATTACATACAAGTCTATTTTTTTATATTGGTAAAGGACCTAGGATGATTGTCTAAGATATTCCGGCTTACTACCAAAATATACGCATTGTCATACCTAACAGAAAGTCATACTGACTAAAATTCAACGCTAAAATCACGGCCGAACATCTGTCACCACCACCGTAATTTTCTGGATGGTCAATTCTGAGCAACTCTGTAAGCAAATTGATAACTTTTGATAAGTCTATAGACATTGTGAATTTCTGCGCTTTCTGTAGCTTAGAGAAAATCGTATAGATTCGTAAATATTTCCGATCGGGTGTTTGGCAGTCGATGCGGCTTACAGTCAATTGCGTCACTGTAAATTAGACGATTAGAAATTATCTCAAAATTGCCATTTCTACGATTCTATAAACACTAAAGTTGCAGAACATCGTAAGCTATGGGTTTACGGATTTATAGAAATTTTACGAGAGAACCCAAAATTGCACAACTTAATTAATACCAAACACTAACGCCTACATGCAAATGAAAACCTATTAAACCAATAACAAAGCAATTCAAGAAAATTAATTAATGATTCTCCCTAAGGAATAAATCGTCCACCTGCAATCTGCAATGCAGTAATCAAGATTTGAGAAGAAACACTTTGGAAACTATTCAATTCGGATACGAGCAAAATTATCGTCAATCAAGGAATGGATAGTTTATATTCAAAAATCAATGCCAATGAAGCAACCCTATCCAGATTTTGATATTATGTCCATTTAGAGAAAGTGGATGCAAATTAACTCTATCAGCTCAAATCGGAATCCACACAAGCTTCTACTTTTCTTCGACCCCATCATTCAACCAAAATAATAAGTAAATTAGATATGCTTGAAAACCGTCAATTTTTTAATGTTCTTATATTAAATAATAATTCCTTCTAATATAATACTTACACATCTCACCAATTGCACTCCGGTTATCAAAAAAATTAAACACCACCAAATCATAGTTCCTAACTTTTTTTCTAAAGTTACACAGTTAAAAAATAAACTTTCACCAACGACAGTTCGTTATCCAAAGGACAAAACGCAGCATCTAACGACACTTAAATACGAAGATGCATCACGATGTAAAATTGCGAAAAAAAAAAAAAATATTTGTTAAGCAAGAGTGGGTAATTCATGCATTATTGAATTTACATTCCGCGATGCGATTAGTTATGAAACGGAGATGCATTAAGGAGAAGGCCTATTGCAGTATCAGCAAAAGTAAATACCATAGGTGTAGTACAAGAATAGGATAAATTTATAAAACTTATGTGGCAAATGACCTTTTCGAGGTTTTTCCGTATTAGTTGACGATGTAATTTAGATGTCCTAAAAAAATAGCTAATAATAAAAGTTCACATAAACAAATAGCCACTTAGGTTATCCAAAATCTTCAAAAATAAATAAATTAATCAACTGGACAAGGTACTAGATAACTCACCAGAAGTATTATTTTTATTTTTCTTGTTATTTCCTCATTCTCTCTTGTGTAATTTGATAAAATTGGTGACAAGGTACTCTCCAGAACTTTTTTTGTAGGTAGTTAATAATGCTTAGGGTAAGGCATTAGACATTATCTCAAGAGAATTATCGAACATCAGTCCCAGCCTATTTTAAATTGTTGAACTTCGAAGAAGTTAATACTTATCATAATACCTAAATAACAATTTTATAGAATATTTTTCCGCAAAATCTTTTAGCAGTCTGGCCGTATTTAAATTTCGATTACTTTAAATTTTAGCTTAACTTAAAAGTAAACCTGCAAATAACAAGCAAGCTCAGCTCAACATGAAAGTTAAATTGATTTCAGGATTTACACTTTATATAACTTCTGAAAGTTATAGTATTTAATGTCAACTGCATCATCATCATCACTTCCACTCTTTATTTAAATGGCACATTACATCTTACAACAACGTGGATACCCCTATTTTTTTCTACGGTGCCAAAACTTGACCATTCATAGAACTAGGCCAGGCAACATAGGCCAAATAAGGGAGTGTAGCGGAATTAATTGTCGGAAAGCTGGAAATGGTTTTATTCTTTTCATTTACGTGTAAAAAGAGTTTTTTAAAGTTTGCACAAATTTTCTGCTTGTGCTCTATACGGGGTGGGGTACCAAAAACCTGGACATTTCATGACTTTTCACAATTCTCAGTTTTTCCCAAATAATTCCTAAAGGGATGCATTTAGGAAATTTTCACTCTTCTATAAATTAAAGTACCTACCTACACAAAATTCTGCATCCAATGAGTATCATAACTCTTTGTCTCAAGGGGTTAGGAAAATATGCAAAATCAAACAGCGACGATATTTTCCATTTAAAAAAAAAAAATGTATTTTTTACTTATTTTCGCAATGTTATTGTGAGAGCCCACTTTCAGAAACTTGGCAAGATGTTAAATTGGCGAGCGGTGACTTTAGTTTTTGGAGACACTGTTTAAAATGGGTCCTATTTGCGGGTGGAGAGTAAAACGCAGGAATATTGTGGTCAATTAAAATAAAGTTTATTTTATCAAAACTAATAATGCTTGTTATTAAATAACAGGCGTCGGTCATAAATAATCTTACAATAAAATTATTCAATCTCTTATAAGCATCAATTAAATGTTAAGGAAAATTTATATGATTCTAAGTAAAATTTTTATTTGCAGTTAGACTCGACTCACACTCTTGCCTTCACAATTCCTGGCTGAACATAAAAAAAACTCTACTTAATAATAATATATTTCCTGCTGGCCACACCTAAGCACATGGAATTCTTATTGGTCGAAGGAATTTACTTTACTTATGAACAATTAATAAAAAACTCGAATATTTTCGCGCTGTTATTTCACGTCGTGCTTCTTCTCTTGGTTAATTCGACAACTCTTTCACGCCGTAGTTCTGACTTCCTGGACACAGGTCTCTTGATTCTCGATTACTACTTGTTTCTTGATTACTCAACCGAACACTGGTTTACAGACGTAGCTCTACCCTCGCTCTTTCTCGAACACTCTTTTCTCGAACACTGATTTTCTTCTGCCAAAGTTGCTTTTCTTTGTTTTTTCTGACCTCGATTTTTCGTGGTTGAATCATCTGATCATTTCTCATATTTGGTCTCCTTTTAATTAATTATCAAGGGCATCGCTAAGTGGTTTGTTAAGCGGGTATCATCATATAGGCTCGTGCGTGATTTATTGATCCTTGTAGGAATTCGGTTCCTTTGGAATGTTAATTGTTGAAAGCACTTATAAAAAGGTCCATGAACTTTTGCTTTATACACAACCCAATGTAGGTCAATTATTTTCTTTAATTCCTACTGGCTGCTCATTCTTGAGAGGAAGTATCGGCTTTCAATAATTTCTGGATATCGATGTTTAGGTAAATTTTAATTGAAGTTTCTGATTGTGCTGTCTTAGTGATGGTCTCTCCTGGGATGGTTATGTTTGGTAAGTCCTGGTTATTCTTGATTAAAATTTCTGTAGTCACTACATTATCTTGTTGGAAAGCCCTCATTGCATACAGTCTAGCAGCTTCTTCAGTTGGAGTTGGATAAAAAGCCACAATTACTTTTTCACCGGTAGTCCCAATTTCATCTACAGTCGCGTCAAGGTTTTTCAATATCTCGACAGTCCGTTGTAAGACATTGGTTGTACCTCCGCATTTTTGTCAAGCAGCTTCACAAACTTCATCTTCCTCTACCTGAAAATGGCCGACTTTGATTTGCATTTGCTGAATGCGCGAAGGATTAATATACATAGGTAATTATTTTCTTTCACTTTATTTCTTTATTTAACATTTTGAAATGTCTCGGGAAACAGAAGATAGTCACTGACCTTCATTTTCCAGGCTTCATCAAAAACAACCAATCGCTATTAGGAGCTACACAGTAATAATTACCAAAACATCTATCTTCTCCTATTAGAATCACACATGCGGAGTGCGTAGCATTTTCTGTAGCCCTTCGAACGCTGGTTGATGGTTGTGTCAGCATCCTTTGCAGCTTCTTTGATGGTGATGTTTTCACCCTTGGGTGTCTATTCTCGAAACCGGGGAATAGCGTTCTCATGGGAATGAAGGTTCTGTCTTAGTCGCCCATATTTACATTTTCATAACACTGACAAAGACAGAACAATCGTTCTTGTGAGAACTCTGTTCCCCGGTTTCGAGAATAGGCACACTGCAAATTTATGAATCAGGTATGATATGAAGCGGACTGTCGAGATATTCAAAAACCTCGACGCGACTAAAGTAATCGCTTCTTCAATCTTCATCTTTGAATGAAACACGCTTTTAACTGTTCAAAAAATTCTTAGTACGAATAATTTCAACTTTGCTACTCTTCCTCCAACTGAAGAAGCTGCCAGACTTCATGCAATGAGGACTTTCCTACAAATTAATTTGTGGAATGGTCATTTTAGTACAGGAAACGTAGCAGCTTATGATAGGCCGACCTAGAACAAATTAGAGACAAGCTAGTTTTGGCTAAAATCAAATCAAATCAAAATAGCTTTATTGTCCAGAAATATGTTATCTCACTGACAAAGTAATTTCCTAATTTTAGAATTACACTCCATGTCATGATATTATTAAAGAATAAAAAAACAAAAATAAAATTACAAAAATAAACTAAATTCACAAAATCTTTATCCAATCACCAGTATGGATCGTGCGGACATGTAGCCATTAACATGTAATGTATGAAAAACACAACCGCATAAAATGAAAAGTATAAAATATAAAATAATATAAATTATAAAACATAAAATACAATATATAAAATATAAAACATAAAACATAAAATAGAAAATGCAAATAACAATAACAATAGCAACATTCGTAAGTTTAGATTTAAATTTGAAATCCAGTGTTGTAATACTCAGCGATACTGTAGAGGGCTCTAGGCATTAGAAGGCTTTTCACAGAATTTCGAAACATTCTATAATTTTGAATATTTTTTTAACTCTCCTGGTAAATTATTGTATAATTTAATGCTTTCATAAATCACCGAACTTTTTGTTAAGGAAGACTTTGGGATTGGAAGCGGCAGATTATTGTATCTAAGGTCATAATTTCTTTCTTGAGTGGTCCCAGAATATTTTCTAAAGATTAGGCACACTTATTCTAAGATGAATAAGGATGGTACTGTTAGTATTTCCTCCTGCACAAAGAGTTGTCTACACGATTCTCTACAACTTTTCTTGCAGAAACGGCGCACTGCCCGCTTCTGGAGAACAAAGATTGAGTGGACTGATTTCTGGGTGGAATATCCCCAAGAAGCAATTCCATATCGCATATCGTCGCCCTAGTTGTGAATGGTCGTAATCCACAAAATGTTCATTCTTGAGTTGTAACTGTTAACCTCTCTGTTAACATACTTAAAAATGTTTAAATTTCATGTTGGTGAATAGATCTAAGCCACTGATCAATATTTGACCTTGTTATAGTATATTTGCTAATTAAAAAGAATGTTTTCACCAAAAACAAAAATTTTAAATGCAGTTTACTCACAACTTACCTTGAGTGGATTACGACCATTCACAACTAGGGCGACGATATGAGACTCCATAAGAGAGAAGTACGCCGTTCTAGCAGCCGGCTTTCCCACATAATCGACACATAATGACTAGGAGTATAACATACTAAAAGTTCCATTTGGTAGGACCTTCAGGACTTTCTATTTGAAAGTCTGTTTTGGAGAATGACACTGAAAGGCAAAGGCGAGTAATTAAAGAACTAATTACAAAAAGAAAACTTCAGTACTCTCCACTAATTTTTATTTGTTTCCTTGTTGGAAAATTACTAGGGCATGTAACGGGATTATAAGAATCCCATCATCAGCTGAAACAATTAAAGAGGAGAACTTAGAGTTTGTGACTGAAAATATAGAAAAAATTTCACTAAATAGTGTAGCTACATAAATTCAAACTCACAAACTAGTGCATCAACCACTAGGGTTATTAGCGCATGGTACAATAATTTTATAATTTGGTGTGAATGTCCATGTGTGAGTCTAGTGTGTCCGATTTTGAGGCGATTATTATTATTTGGGATGACCGGCATATGGATATTCTCGTGTTAGGTTTTATTGAGGGCATCACTTCGTGTAGTTTAGAGTTCGAACTGTTCCATTCTAGTTGCCACGAGTTTTGTTGAAATTGGTGTTCCACTCCACTCCATATCTTCCGATTTTCTCCTTATATAAATGGGGTTATATGAGGGGTGTACAGTGTGTTTCGGAATAATTTCTGAGTAAGTTTGTAAGTAATCTATAAAACAATATTTAGTGAAATTTTTTCTATATTTTAAGTCGCAAACTCTAAGCTCTCCTCTGTAATGGATTCAGCTGATGATGGGATTCTTATAATCCCGAAACACGTCCTATGGCCGGTTTCTCAATAGCAAGTCACCCCCGGGGTAAGCATAACTCCAGGGTAAATATAGCAACTGGACAACCCTGGAGCTAAAACCAACCCGAAGGTGACTCGCTATTGAGAAACCGACCCCTAGTAGTTCTCCAACAAAGAAACAAACAAAAATTAGTGAAGAAGATGTAGTGACGCAGAAATAAACCACCAAGAAAAACCACCAAGAATAAAATAATTGTTAATAGATCTGGTTATTTTGTTGAAAAATGAAACAAACAACAAACAAAACATAAATCAAACTGGAAAAATGAAAACAAAAACTACAACTTACCGAAAATCAAACACCCCAGGGACATCAACACTCGACCAGTTACAGCCGGAACTTCTGGTACAAATGATCTGACCATCGAAAAAAGAAACAACAGAAACTGAAATCCCTTCTCAAAAATCCGAATAAGTGGGGCCACTCAAAAATAGATGATTCAATTGGAATGTGTCCCTGAAATGCGGCACTTTACTAACATGACGCCATCTGTCACTAAACCCAAATTCCGGGAAAGCACCATAAATCAGGCGTGTGCTGTATGCCGACAAAGAAACGGTACCGCATTCCACTAAAAAGAGGGCCGAAATGACGAAATCTTGATGTCAAAGCACTAATAAAATTGGAGGAGAAATTAGGCCGAAAGAACAAAGGAAGGAAGAGACAATTTTTATATAAAAAGCCTGAATTGCGATAAAAATAGCAGTGTCGGTTCAGAAGAAGTATCAGTCAAGAACGGTCAAAAGTGTCAGTCGAGAACAGTCAGTTCAGAACGGTCAGTCAAGTGTCAGACGCAGCAAGCAGAGTCCAAAGTCGAAGATAGTACGAAAAGTTTTAAGGAGTCATTGCGAAAATTTCGGGTTCATAAAGTCAAGTCGTAAAAATAACGTTTCAGTAATTACGTGTTTGCCAGTAGAATTTTAAAGTAATAAATACATCTTGTAAGTACATTTACACTGTAAAAAAGGAAATTTGTACTCTCTATAAAATAGGACAAAAAGTTAATGAATTGATAAATTTACGAAAGTTAAATAATTATCCCAAAAGGAATTAAAACATTTTTAACATGATATTTCATGATAGATAGTTGGTAAAATAAGAAAATTTGAAGCTAAATTTTGTGAAAGAACTTTTGTTATTGAAATATATTTCGTTATTCATAATTATTTATAACATTTTGAATTGGGATTTTCGTGATTAATAATTGAAAAAAAATTGAACTTTCTAATTTAACATTATTTTTGGTAAGGCAAACTTTTGGTACGAACTTACCTATTGGAATTTTTATAATAGAATTAAGGTATTTGTGAGAAAAGGGAGAAATTTTAAATAAGTCAGAGTAAAAATTTTGGTTATTATATTTCAAACCTTTCTGGCCGACGCCCGATAAATTTATTTTAGATAAAATCATATTAAAATAATAGTCCACAGTTGTGTTTTACTCTCGCACCCGCAAATAGGACCCATATTAATCTGTGTCTCCACTCAGAAACAAAAGCCGCCGCTCCGCAAATCAACATCATATAAGTTTCTGAATTGGGGTTTCACAAAGACTGAATTTTTCTTTTTGTAATTCACAAAGCTCTACTGTAAGAAAATGTATTTTTTCAATTTAAAGAACTAATGTTGGATAAGAAAATCAAACGAGCTGGAGCAACTACCTGAATCCAACAGCACCAGGGCCTTCTTCGGGCTACTGAGATGGTATATGGACCAACCACTCAAGGACTCAATCCTTTACGATTCAAAGATGGCACTAAACTGCTTAAAGACAGTTTTTCCAATAATTCTCGTTGGAAGGAACTACTTAACAGAGAATCACAAATTAATGATGACATCTTCAACGAAATTCCACAGAAACCAATACAACAAGAACTGAGCGAGATTCCCAGTTTAGCGGTTGAAAAGGCCATCAGACAACTAGAGAACCATAAGTCGTAATGCCGGCATTCCTGCCTCTACACTAAGTTCCCAAACGCAAATCCTGATAAGTAAAATACGGATTACCGAAACCTTACCTGCCGAACTTAGAGATACCTCCATAGTTGCCATTTTTAAAAAGGGAGACAAGGCTTTAATGTGAAAACTACAGAGGAATATCTTTACTTTCTGTTGCGGGAAAGATACTTGTCAGGATATTCTCAAATCGTCTAATCCCAACTGCCGAAGAGAACCTCCCAGAGACACAGTATGGTTTTAGACCCAATCGAGGTACCTACAGCTGACATGATTTTCATTGCAAGACAAAATGCAAGAGAAATCCGGATAACAAAATCGCCCTCTAGTCACGGCCATCAGATATAGTGGAAGCATTTTATTTGGTCAACACAGTAGCTCTCTGGAAGATTTAGGCAAAGCTTGGGTGTCCGCGAAACTACATTCCAGATACTCCGCCTGCTGCATGATAATATGAATGCAACCGTCCTGAACAACGATGATCAAGGAGAGTCCTTCCAAACATCTACAGGCGTTAAAAAGGGCTGTGTTATTGTACCAACTTTATTTTCTCCATTTATAGGATCCATACTTCACTTGCCAAGAGTCACCTGCCTTCAATAGTGATGGCGGATTATTCAACCTAAACAGATTTGGTACGAGCCAAGACGAAACTATCGACGAAATCGATAATTGAACTTCAATATGCGGATGATAACGTCGTGTGATGGCCAATACAGATGAAGACCTTCAGGCAATTATCAATGCATACCAGGCATACAGAAGAACCGTTCTAGCGGTCAACTTTAACAAGACGCAGATTCTTCCCCAACACGCACCAGGCACTAACTCCCAAGTCCCAAATATAAATATATAAATGACCATTATTTGTAGAACGTTAAACACTTCCCATACCTTGGGAGCTATATGTCAGCGAATGCAACCATTGACGCTGACATCCAACATCGCTTGAAGTGTGCTAGCGCACTGTTCGGACAACTTGTAGAAAGAGTCTTCAATAATCACGACATCAGCACTGAGACCAAACTTCGCGTCTACAATGCAGTGGTAATGCCAACACTTGCATGGCTGCGAAGCATGGACCACCTACAGAAGAACAAACATAAGTGTTTTAGAGGAGGCCTAAACAACTAGCATGGAAGCCCACATCATGAAACACCGACTTCGCTGGACAGGTCACCTCGTCCCAATCTTCGAAACACGTCTTCCACGACAGATTCTCTACAGTCAACTGAAAGAGGGAAAATGAAATCAAGAAGGTCAACAAAAACACTAAAAATATGTTTTTAAGGCAAACATGGCAAAGGGACCGCAAGGACAAGCGAGAGAACAGAGGAAGAGACAATGCTGCCAGAGGCTTGGCGTTCGACCTTCGACCACAATGAGAATAGAATAGAAGCAAAACATATTCAGTATTGATCGCCTATGATGATCATGACTCTACGTAGCACGTTCCACAGAATGGAATCGAGCTTGAAGAAAATCAAAGACAATAAAGCCCCAAGTGGAAGCGATGTAATCGTTACAGTAATAAAAAGGTAGAACATGCCTGTTTTCACAAATAAAAAATCTTCTCCAATCTCTGTCTCTCCGCAAATATGAATTGGATAATTATATTAATGATATTGGGCTTCAAATATATTTTTTTATTCTGAATCAACCTCCTTTCTTCTCCCTAATAGCTATTTTTCAGAAACCAATACTCGCTGGAGGTTGCTATCTTCCCCTGTTTGACTCTCAATAATAGTCGTCTCCATGAATACATTTGTTAGCTTTTTCACGAATTCATCATGTACTATTGTTTATCAATAAAATACAAAATAATAATATAAAAACAGAAGTTTATTAGGCCTATACATTACAAATAAATAAAAAAGTACGGGGAGTCAAAATTAGGGTAACTATATAGCATAAATAAATAATGTTGACATAAAATTTCTACTCATGGCAAAGAAGATAATGCCTTTTTAGGTTTTAAATATATTTTCGACTTCTTATCAACCTGCTTTCTTTTTCTCAGCAGCCTCTTACTAGCACTCGTTGTTACTTGTTCACTTATGTTGTCTTTTTCTGTATCAAATCTTTTCTCTAGAATAATATTATTATTGTTGTTAATAATATTTAGAATATTTATATCATCAGTCTGGGTATTATTATCTTTCAGTTCAATAATTTCTTTTTCTTTGTTGACTCTAAACATTTTTGGTATTGGTATTGGAATGGGTATTGGTATAGGCAATGGCAAAATAACAGGATATGGCACAAAAGTAGTTGGTGGTGGTAAAAAATTTCCTAAAATCGCTCGGATATTATCAGAAGTAAGTTTAGGATCTTGATGCTGTAGATCCGCTCTAGGCTCATCCAGTGAAGTCCTAATACTGCTTTCTTTTTTGAGATTTGTTTTAATATCAAAACTTTCTAGAAGTTCTTCTGCTGGAGGAGTTTGCCTAACTCTTAAATCTTCAGGAATGTCACTGAAAGATGGCATATAATTAATTGGTGAAGTTATCGTAGAAGGGCATGAACTGAGCTTTTTAAATCTCTTATTGGTTTTTGTGCGATTTCTTTTTGTATCAGTTGCCAAAAGTTTCGTGCTTGGAGCCACAGATATTATTGGTAAAGGCTCTGGCATTGGCAATGGCGATTTTTTGGAATTTTGATTCAATGTTTCAATTGGATTAAGAGATAAAGATGGAGATTCCCTATTGGGAATGGGAGATGTGCAACTCTTTAACCAAAGATCGGGTGTAATTAAATTGCCAGTAGCTGTTTCTGAGCCATGTAGATGCGGATGCAGGTCTAGATGAGCTTGAGTTTCTCGACAGAAAATGTGCATTTTGTATTGGTTCAGGCATTTGTCCGAACAAAATTGAAGCTGAGTAGCGTTGTCCTGAAAAAAAATAAGAGCAATGAAAGTTTTGCGCTAGCTTAAATGATTATTTCTACCTGAATATCGACATAAGATATGCCAGGTCGTGAATGCCGGCACCAATCACACGTCTTATTCTTTTTAAAGCTTGCTCTTCTAGACTGCGAGAAGCATAGCTCTGAGCAGAAAATTGCTGTTGCAGAAATCACACTTGTGTTTTCGTCCACAGTTTTACCACACCATCCGCATCCTTCTGAAAAATAGAAAATATATAGATACATATTGCACCCTGGATGCTGGATGGACAGATACGGTGACAGGCAGTTTGTGAGAGTTATTACATCATTGAAACACACTTAATTTTAATGAAATTCATCTCTATTCACATCATACAACTTAGCAAAATTTTCATGGAACGCGTTGTTCGTTGTTTGGTGTCTAACTACAATTTCTCGTTGTATCAATAGTTGCTTTAATAAAAAATGGAATGTATTTGAAAATTATGTATCTTATTATTATGTATTTCTAACATTTTTTTTTAAAATCAAATCAATATTGGATGGCATGACATTTACTGTCAAGGTAATCTCCCGACCAAATGGTCAGCAATAGCGAATTTTCCCCCATTAAAATACCTATAACATATTCTGTTGTCACTCAAAATGAACTTCTCAGGGTAAAATGAAGTTGTTCCGTGAAATCCTTTCACATTACAAAAGGTTGATTTGCAGTAGTTGCTGTCACATTAGTGGAATTCAAAAAATCTCGCACGTCATTGGTTGATCTTGTTAGTTTTGGCAATTTCAAGAGGCTTCATGCATGACTATCTTTTGTCCTTTTCTCATAATACATGAGAGCATTATTTATTTTTGTAACTGATACGTTGTTGGACGTGCGTAACAGTTTTTAGTGAAGAAACTCTATTTTATGTATAGATTATTTAATTGCTCTACAATGCTTTATTAATGCATCTTCATACTTCTGTTGATTTCACTCATCGCCGGTATTTTCGAAATTTGTGGTTATCCAAAATTTAAAACAGTTTTCCTTTCATCAGCAATATGCTTTGCATCTTTGCCAGACTCGACACGTTGAGGTCGTAACCCATTTCTGTTACCTGAGGGTTATGACTATGAGCACAATTGAGTAAGGCCCAGGTTACCCTATTCCGTAATTCTTAATTTTTGTTTTTAATTCAATCTTTAAAAACACCATGTTAAATAAATTAAACTTTTTAAGAATTCAGAATTAAGGACAAATATCCGGAATTAAGGAATTGCGTAACTCCGGCCTTAGTGATAAAATTATCTGTTTTACCATTTTACGAACTGGATACCAGAGCTTAAAATGTGAGCGCATTTCAATTGCGTCCGTATGTTTTATGCAGTGAGTTGCAATGTTAAAACTTTTTGAATAAAATGATTTACTTTAAAACGCAAAAATGGGTAACATGATGATAATGAAACATAAACGCCGAAAATATATCGGAAATTTACTAATTGGAAAGTAAAGAAACCCGATAGGTTTTTGTGTTGTGTTTTAATAAGCAACTTAATATCTATTATTCTTTTTTTCCATCAAATAATTGCAATTTTATTTTAACAAAGCATCGGCGAAAATTTTATCTGATGCAGCTATTATTTTTCCCCAGTTAGTCTTGCATTATTTTGTTCCGGCTTTTAAAAACATGATATTCACGGGCATCGTCAATTCAGTAGATTAAAGTTTCTTTTTTTATTTGCTATTCATTTTTTAAATCATAGGAAGCTTATTGGTGGAAAGAACATATTATTCTCTTAGAAGGCTCATTAATCATTAGCAATCTTTTTCTTTCTTGAATTTTTTTATCAGTTGTCAAATTAGGTACTATGAGGGTACTATCTTTCCTGTTTTTCTTGAAATTTAGTCAAGTAGGTAATTAATAAAATAAGTTCAAATCTTTTTGTTTATTGCGAATGCCGCCACCTGAGATTAGCAAGTACAATTCCACACAAATCTCGATATGCGTTCGACTAGATTTGCAGATTGTAGATTGTAGATTGCATATGGAGGCTAGTTCCAGCCGCTCAAGCAATGCTACTTTTCCAGATATTTTGTGCGTGACTCTGCTTCTAGTTGGTGTCCAAGATTTGTAGGCTTCTCCCAAAGCTTCCTGGGTGGTCAGGTGCCCACCTCTTGGGGTGTTAGCCGTACCCCTTAAAGATATTTCAGCCTCTTGTAGGGCAATCACAGATTAAATGTTCTGTGGTTTCTGCTGCTTGTTCGCAAAATCTACACTACAGTGGTCGTTGTCTGCTTTGCCTAATGTTTTTAGGTTTTATTTCACCAGGCAGTGCCCAGTAAGCAGACCGACTGTTCTAATGTATCTTCTGTTCATGTTGAGAAGCTGTTCAGATCTCTTTGCTGTGATGGATATAAACCGTTTTGCCTGTCTCAGACCCGGAACGGATCTCCAATGAGCCAGCATTCGGCCCCCTTCCCATTTGTGCAGTTCTTCGGAGGCGTGGCAATTCATTAGTCCGCAGAAAGGCTCTGAACCTCGAAAAGGTGTTATAGCGCCTTCCTTTGCGAGACGGTCTGCCTCCTCATTGCCCTCTATGCCCTCGTGTCCTGGTATAGTCTATCGATAATCAAATAAGACAGTAAAAAAAAATTAAATTCCTTTGGCCGTCGGCGTTTTCTTTATGAAGCACGGGCGGAGTAAGAGAAATTTATGAAAACAGTTTTATATAAAATAAAACATAAGGCACAATACAACTCAAATAGGAATCAAATTTATAAAAAAATATCTACTGCAATGTCTTTCCAGACGAAACTGATTCCTGTGCGGCAGCCGCTTCAAAGAAATATGCCGCCAAAGACGCCGCTAAAAAATCTAACCAATAAGATATTCCTGTAGTGAACGTTGACTGTATTAAACAACCAATAAGATGCATTGTTTACACATGGATTCGCATCCAATGTATATGGGCACGCTCAATATATTTTGCCTAATGATAGTATAATAATTTTAAGGTGCAATACGATAATTTGTGAAGGCCGCAATTTTTGCTTTGTCTCATTTGAGAAACGATAGACTATACCCGCATCAGGATTATTTTGTTCCTACCAGCTAGTATAGCTGCTTGAAGATATTTTCACCCTCCCAAACTAGCTACGAGGTGCACTTGATGGCTCCTAGAGCCTTGAGAGCCGGTTGACTGTATGTAGATGTGTTCTCTTAACAGGCCCCTTTTAAGGCACTCTTGGGCACATATGTTTATAGCTAGTACCTAGGCTTGGAATATTGTGAGCGTATTTCCCATTGCTAATGAGACTTTAAAGTTTGGTCCAGTTATTCCCAGTCCAACTCCTTCCTTTAGCTTTGAACCATCTGTGTACCAAAATGATGCGTTGTCCGCTTGCGATAGCTTTGCATCCATCCATGATTGGCGTTCTTTTGTTACCACCTCATATGGAATGTCAAAGTCCAGTGATGTTATCATATGATCTGTTGGTTTACTTCAACACTCTAGCCTTATAGCAGTTAAAGCCTGAAGAATGCGTAAATAGCCATTTAGATCACTAGGTTTAAATCTTTTTGTCTGGAATAGCCAGAATAAAAGAAGTGGAGGGAGACCCCAGATGAGGTATGCTGATGACCTGAAGAAGCACGCTGGAACCAGGTGGATGAACATGGCAACAGACAGAGAAGAATGGAGAAGACTGGGGGAGGCCTATGTCCAAAGATGGACTGAAGACGGCTGAATAGATAGATAGATAGATAGCCACACATAGGTGAAGAGGAGGCATGTTCAGCAGTGCCTCCAAGGCTGCAGTGGGGCGGGTTGACATAGCCGTTGTTATTCCTATACAGATTAGCCTTTGTACTTTACGTAGACTGTTCTGTGCAGTAACTTGATCAGTCTCTGGCCACCATACCAACGAGGCGTAGGTTACAATGGGTCTGATAACCATTTTTGGTCTTATCCCCCATGTTTTTCCCCACGAGTTTGCGGCATTTCCAAATGGCCGCCGTGATATTGTTGTGTTCAGATGATTGTTACAAGTAAGTTTCCGGTCCAGGGTGACCCCTAAATACTTAACTTCATCCGAGAGAAGTAATTATGTTCCATTTAGAATGGGGGCTCGCAGATTCAGCTTTCTTCTTTTCGTAAACGGAACTAAGGTCGTTTTGCTGGGACTCATGGAAAGTCCTTCTTCCTCACTCCAGTTTTTGATTATATTCAAGGCACTTTGCATTCGACCTGTTATTATGCTTTCATGCTTGCCTCTAATTATTACCGGCAGATCCTCTGCGTAGCCTAGGACAGTGATTCCTTTGTTGCTTAGTCTGGTAAGGATGCTGTCTACCACCAGTGTCAGCAGAAGAGGCGAAAAGACACCTCCTTGTGGGCAGCCTTTAGCTGAGGTGACAGTAACTGTTTCGCCGTTCGAGTTCGCCGATACTGAGCGATGTTTTAGCATGTCCATCCTATAATGGGAGCTTCTGCCCTCTATCTTCGACAGTTTTTTGCTAGATTGTTATGAAGTGTTATCAAAGGCACCCTCTATATCTATAAAAGCTGCAAGAGCGATTTCTTTTGCTTCGAGTGACTTTTCTATGTCTGTTACTAGACAATGGAGTGCACTTGTGGATTTGGGTAGCCTCCCACTTATTTCGTTAGGACGATTAGTTGTTTTGAGAGCCTGGCTGGGTCTGAGAGTTTTCCACGATTGATCCGGGAAAGTGAGTCTTGAGTAAGACCTCTAGACTTTCTTTGTTGTTATCACAGTACTCTCCGTCTGGCTTTTTTATAGAAGACCAAATGCCATTCGAGTGGTTTTAGTCAAGTAAATATTAAATTAACTTTAACTATTTCTGAGAATTTCATACATCTGTCAAAACTGGTATTCCAACAATAAATTGACATGTTTTGATTGTTGATTTGAACCAATCAGATTGTAATAACGCGATAATTTGCACTAGTGCAAATTATCAGATAATTAATTGCATACTAACTGGTGGGAAAACTGGTGTTTTGACATTTTTTGACAAAAAATTTAAATTTTTGATTTATGAAATTCTCTCATTAAATACAACTCGTGCAATGGAAATATATTTATAATTTTCGACAAATTTGCACTCATGCGTTTTTAACTGAAAAAAAGCACGAGTGCACGTAAAAATGCATTCGGGCAAATTTCCCAAAAATTATCAATAATTTCCATTGCACTAGTTATATTACTATTGATTATTTCATTCATTATAAAATAGACAACGTCATTTTTTGAATGAATTTTGTTTAAATAAGTGATTATTTCACAAGACCTTGTTTATCAGCGATTAAATTTTTGTTTACCTTTTTTGACAGAATTTTGATAGAAATATTCTGACATTTTATAATAAATAGAACTCTTTGGATAGGATTGACGCTAACAATTCAATCCTAATTATTCAGTCAATTCGACCTATAAATTTAAATGGATTAAACTATCCAAATATTTTTTGCATAATTTTGCTTTTTGGCAAATAGTTTCATGCACAATAACTTTTAAATTAAATTATTAAGTTATTGTGCATTCAACTATTTTCCAAGCAAAATCATGCTCAAAATATGTTGGATAGTTTAATCGATTAAATTTAAAGCTCTTGTGATATAATATATGATTATTGCGAATGCCGCCACCTAAGATTAGCAAGTACAATTCCACACAAATCTCGATATGCGTTCGACTATATTTTGGCATTTTTTTCGAACACAGTGTGTTAAACGAAAAAATTCCAAGAAATGAAGGTTTCAAAATTGAATGGGCCTTTTAACAGAAGAAAATATTTTTTTAAACCAAAGTTTCGAGTGTCCAAACAGTGGGGGCCACGAAAAAGTGTCTTGAAGGGGTCCTCCGTCTAAAACCGCAGCAGCAGCCAATTCTTCATATCATAAAACCCCTGCGTACCAAACATAGTGGTCCTGGTACAACTTTTCTGACGGTTCTGAGAATTAAAAACAGAGGGATATTGAATTTTAAATTTGAAATTTCGTTCTCTTGAAACCAGCATCATAAGCTTCTTTGTTTTAAGTTGGGGGCCTAGATTTTCAAACATTTATTTTTGTTTTCTCAAATTTTCGTGCAGATTCCTGTGTATTCCTCCGTTCTCTCATCACATTCATTGCAGCCTGCTAGAATGACGAAACCATAGATTCAATTGGAAGATTTTTCAAAGCCAGGATAGTCTCTTCCTAGTCATCACTATCCTCCTTCGATTTTCCCTGCGAAATGAGGCGCTGGAAACCATATTATTTCCATTCTCCGCGTACCTACCTATACAAAAGTTTCAATTTTATTGGTCGGTGCTTTCACATCACACATGAGGACCAATCAGACAAAGCACACTTGACCATTGTGATTCTGTGTCAAGTCTTGGAGTTGAGTTTTCGGTTACTCTTAGTACCGATTTCCGAGTCTCATTTGTCACTCAAAACTGAGCTATAATTTTCATCTAGCCTACTCTCTATTTCTCTCTTAGTACCGATTCACGGGTTCCATCTTTGTCACTCACAACTCAGTCTATATATTTGGGCTTTCAATGAGGAAAAGAGACGCCACTCTTCCGAAGTCGTTCAGACCTTATACGCCTCACGTCGTTTCTGCTTAAAACATCTGAGAAAGTTCTAAATAACTACATCAGAACAAGTGTTTTAGAAAATACGCCACTACATCTTAGGCAGCATGCTTAGAGAGCGGGCAGATCAACAGAAACCGCTTTACTTGAACTCACCGACAGCATCCAAAGCACATTGCATAAAAAAGAAGTAGCCGTCTGCGCCTTCTTGGATATAGAAGGGATAGCACCTCTCATGAGTCAATAAAGAATGCGCTCGTCAAAAAAGGAGTGGACCTGGATGTGCGAAACGCTAGCCACCAGAACTGCAGAAACTGACGTGGGTGAAGAAACCATACAGGTCACCACCATTAGAGGATGTCCGCAGGGAGGGGTACTCTCACTTTTGATGTGAAGTCTAGTGGTTGACGACCTCTTAAATAAATTGACCGATCAGGGCTCCACCTGCTTTGGATACGCCGATGATATTGTCATCATAACCAGAGGCAAATACGAAGGAATACTCTGCGACCTTATAGAAAAAGCACTTCAAACCACGAAAGAACGATGTCAGACAGTGGGGCTGAATCTAAACTCAGCAAAAACCACACTGGTAACATTTGCAAAAAGAACGAAACTCCCAAGCCTGAGAAACATTCGCCTCGATGGAAGCAGACTAGATTCCAAACCTTTCTGGAACCGACATGTAGAGAACACTAAAAACAAAGCAATCTCGACACTCATGGTCTGCAAAAATATTGCGGGTAAAACATAGGGTTGTAACCCATCAATCCTAAAATGGATGTATACCATGATAGTGAGACCTATCATCACGTACGGAGCGGTAGCCTGGTATAGCCGAACCCAGTTAGTAACAGCTAGGAAAACCATAGAAAAAGTGCAAAAACTCGCGTGTCTCTGTATAACAGGAGCAATAAGATTATGCCCAACCGTGGCACTAGAAGTCATTCTAGACCTCACACCACTCCACATAATAGTGAAGCGGGTTGCCAGTGGATCATGTCTCAGACTGGAGAAGATAGGTCTAAAAAGGAAAATGCACCTTGGCAGAACTTTTCCTCTCCCACCTTATCGATCTAGCAAAAGACATGATTGTTGATAAATTCAGTTTCGAGAAAAACTTTTCCATTGAACTAAGTACAAAAAACAGATGAAACATGAAATCTATCTAATCCCTTGAAGCAAAGACCATCAAATGGTACACAGACGGTTCCAAAACTGCTGAGAGAACTGGAGCCGAAGTATTCGGGCCACGGTCCAAATAATCGGAGCCAATGGGAAAATCACCAAGCATATTTCAAGCGGAACTTCATGCGAGCGGAAGATGCGTACAGTTCAACCTGAACAGAAGTTATCGGAAACGAGAAATTGTAATAATGTCTGACAGCCAAGCAGCTATCAAAGCATTGAGATCCCCGGTCATCAATTCTAAGACAGTATGAGAATGTCTACATAAACTAAATGAGCTAGGAAAACAAAACAAAGTAACCCTCCTCTGAGTACCCGGACACATAGGTGTCGAGGGCAACGAATGCGCAGACAGACTCGCAAGAACGGAAGCATCTACTCCCTTCACTGGGCCAGAACCATTTCGCGGCGTCGGAAATGCGCACCTCCAAGAAATCCCCAAAAAAGAGCACCGGCTAAAGAACAAACAATGGCTAGAACAGCCAGGACTACGACAGGCCAAAGATCTATTGGCAACTTCAACCAAAAAAGATCAGAACTGCTGGTCAACCTTAGCAAGAAAAGTCTCAAGACTCTAACCATGTTTCTCATGGGACATTGCAGACCTAAGAAACACCTACAGAAGTTGGGATTAGAAGAAGGTGACACCTGCAGATTCTGTGAAGACGGAGAAGAGACAGCTCACCATCTTCTACCTGAACTGCGATGCCGTTAGTCGCTCAAGGATGAAGAACCTGGAAAGTGTCCTTATACAGTTGGAAGACATTCCAGTCCTGGAACCGCTAGACATCCTAAAATTCCTAAGGGACCTAGGACTGGAGGGGATGCTTTGAGTGGGAAACCCGTACTTAGCAGCAATAGATCAACCTTGGTGCAACTGACACCTCCAACACAAACATACATACATACATACAAGCTGAAAGGAAAAAGCAAACGGTTGTCTTTTTCTGACACCGACACCGACTCTGAAGAGGCACAAGAAGTTGTTTTAGAATGACGAAGAGGAAACTGAAGACGATTTACAAGATTATGAAAACGGAAGTGCCGGTTGCAAGGAGGATTACAGCGTTACCAAAAAAAAAAAGAAAATTGAATTGAGTGCGTCGTGTCTGTTAGCGCCAGGAATGCACATCCTTCGTAAATAAAAGGTCCATTCCTCTTCTTAAAATTTGATTATGGTTGCTAGAACATGAAATGTTGAATTCAAGACCTGGATTATTTGGAAAAGCTGCTATAAAATGTGTGAAACATTGCTGAATAAATAAAAAGGTCTTCAATGTCTCCTCCCACGATTTTGCCACAGTACCTTTGATTGTAGAAAGTTATTCTTAAACTTTCTATAATATTTCTTACCAGTGAATTTGACTGACTCTCCTTCAGAATCATTACTTCCAGAAAAGGATCGACTACTTCTTCGCGCTTTGGAATCTTTGGCTTCTTGTTTTGGACATTCGTAACCATACCAGCCCAATAATTCATTCATTGTTGATTCCGCTAAGCTCTGGAAAAAAATAGATATTTAGTCAGGACCACGTATTTACTTAAAATTTTAGAATAATCCAATTAGAGCGTTGTCGACCCAAAAGTTAATATTTTCCTTTGTTTTAATTGGGGTAGGATCGGAAAAAAAAACACCAACGGAAGTTTGTTTTCTTTAAAATTATTGAGGTTTCGCAAAATTTATTTGCATCCTCAGGACACTACAATAGACGTCAAAAATAGAGTAAATAAATTAATAATAAAAAGGGTGGACATTAAGAACGTAATGACTACTACTTAAATTTAGAAAAAAATAACTTTCCTTGTCATTGAAATAATTGTATCACAGATCTTATTGTACGTATGTATTACAAAAGTTTTTTTGTGTTTGGAACACCACCATAATATGCAATTTTGGGAATTTAAAAACACACAAGCCGTAACAAGTTAACATAAAATTTAAAAAAAACACTGTACAGGGTGGCCCATTTTCGATGTTTTAATAGGCTATATCGAAAACCAGCAGAGATATCAAAAATCTGGGAGCACATTCTCGAGCTCTTTTTTTGAGAAAATAACAATGGCGAAGACAAATCACGACTAGCTTGATGCATTTAGGAAATACAGGGCACTTTTCAAATTTGCCACAATTTTAGAAGACCTTCTAATTTCTTTATTAATCAAGATATCCAAAAACGAAACATACTTTCTATAGGCAGTTTTTCAAGGAGAATCCAGTGACATGACCAATTATTCTCCAGATGCCTCCGATTTTGGAATATTGACCAAAGTTGTGTTTTTTTAAATGGGACACCCCGTATATTATATTTATATTAAATAGCTCTTTGTGAGCTGATTTCAATGATATCAGGTTTTATACCTTTACCTTCTAGAGTTTTAGAGACAAAAAATTTATTCCGTTTTTCCATAAGAAACAATGAGCTAGAGAGAGATAAGTCATTAAATAAATTATGAGTTGCCTATTTATCACCTTCGATTCATAGTTCAAGTAAAAAAAAAATTAGCTAAACTCAAAAACAAAATTAGGAATTAAGAAATTTGTAGCCCATTCATAGTTCAACTATCTCTTTCTAACTCATTGTTTCTTATGGAAAAAACGGTTTTTTTTTCTCCAAAACTATTGAAGGTAAAGGTAAAAAAATTGGTCATGCCACTGGATTCTACTTGAAAAACTGCCTATAGAAAGTATTTTTCGTTTTTGGATGTCTTGAATAATAAGGAAATTAGAGAGTCTTTTAACATTGGACCAAATTTGAAAAGTGTCCTGTATTTCCTAAACGCATCAAGTTGCGTTTTGATTGCGCGTGATTTGTCTTCGCCATTATTATTTTCCCAAAAAAAGAGCTCGAGAATGTGCTCCCAGATTTTTGATATCTCTGCTGGTTTTTGATACAGCCCATTAAAACATCGAAAATGGGCCACCCTGTATACATAACATTTAAAATTATTAAAAACAAGAAACAGAAAAAATATTAAAACTGGTAACTCTAAAGTTATTGTTGTTACTTTTTTATCCTTTTTTTTTTAAATTAAATTCAGGCAGAGCCTATTGATTTAAACAACCATCAATGATCAATGCATTCTGGTACTAAAATACACTGAAATGGTGCCGCTATAAACCAGAAAAAAAAACACAACAGGAATTCAAGAAAGAAAGAGACGAAAACAAAAAACAACCAAAATTCCAGTGACGTTATTTTATTTTATTAATAACTAGCTAATGACCCGCTGCGTTGCCAGCGTGTAAATACATTTTGAAAAAATAGGTACACTTCTTTTCAAATTTTGTTGTTGATTTTCTATTTAATTTTTTTTTTTAATCCGATATCAGAGTCGCTTGCCAGTGAGTTCAGTGACGCATTTTAAGCACTCCAGAGCTGCTCTAGAGCGCCCCGGGCTGTTTATAGGCGTTCCAGTGTATCAGAGTTTTGCGCAACCGAACTTTTTTTCTTCGGGATAAAAAATAGCCTATATCACTCTCCTCTATAGCCGATTCGATTGACCGGATTAGATCGATCTGGTTCAATTTAAGTGAACGACACTGTGTTCGATTGAAGCTGGATCAGTGCACCCTCATCAACAAAAAAATGATCAAGATCAGAAGAAGTTCACTTAAATTGAACCCAAATCGATCTAATCTGGGTCAATCGAATTCAGCTTATACCGGGTGGTCCTCCGGGAATGACATCGATTGCTTATGGGAAAACTGTGAAAGGTAAAAATTTGAAAATTTGGCAACATAGCAATGTCGATGGGGGACATCCAGGTAAAATATTTTCAAGATGGCGGCATTTCCGGCCATACCGGAAGTTGATACCAACTCGGTTATTTTAAATAGAACACCCCATATATTAATGTATTTTTGGATTCTACATAAAATTCTGAGCAGATTTCATGTAATATACCCTATACCTAAGTTCAACTGTTTTGGAAATATTGACAGTTGAAAATTGACTTTTTGCAACTTTGACAGGCTGTAAAACCTGAACAATTAATTTTAGAGGAAACCCGATTTGACATTCCTATCTTAGATTTTTATAAACTATCATTTGACATCAACTTTGAATTAAATCCATGATTAAAAATTTCAGTTAAATTTAATCTCCGTTTAAGTTCAAAGTTGGTGTCAAATGATAGTTTATCAAAATCTAAGATAGGAATGTGAAATCGGTTTTCCTCTAAAATTAACCAATTAGGTTTTACAGCTTGTCAAAGTTGCAAAAAGTCAATTTTCAACTGTCAATATTTCCAAAACAGTTGAACTTAGGTATAGGGTATATTACATGAAATCTGCTCAGAATTTTATGTAGAATCCAAAAATACATTAATATATGGGGTGTTCTATTTAAAATAACCGAGTTGGTATCAACTTCCGGTATGACCGGAAATGCCGCCATCTTGAAAATATTTTACCTGGATGTCCCCCATCGACATTGCTATGTTGCCAAATTTTCAAATTTTTACCTTTCACAGTTTTCCCATAAGCAATCGATGTCATTCCCGGAGGACCACCCGGTATAGAGATACGTGGTATTAATTCAAGATCGGCCCAGCCGTTCTCGAATTCAAAAAATAATAAAGTTACGTCAGTTGAATGCAAGCCCAAATAAATGAACGTTGTTTCATGCTGTCAAAAAAAGTTGGGTTATGTTGTTATGTAATGTGAATGAGTTTGTTTACAATTAAATTAATAATTAATTCAAAATTAATTTCTTTTTCCGAGATGCGTAGTCTGTCCACAAACCTTCCTTGGGATGGCCATAACAACCTACCAAAGTTTCATCGTAATCGGATTAGTGGTTTTGGAGCGCATATCCGGATACCCCGTGAACTTTGATTTTTATATATATAGATATTGAAATATGACGTGCTAAGATTTTCTACAACAGTTCGTTTGTTAACGCAACTTTCATTTTTCTGAATCTCGATTATTTCTGCAATCAATTTTTTTTTATAATTAGACTGTGTCTGCAGGATGGTTATATTGTCAAAATCAATATCATGCTCAGTTTCTAACTTATGTTCTACTAAGGCTGTTGGATTAGATTTTGAAATATAGTTCTTTTGGTCATTTCTGTGCTCTTTCATTCTTTGTTGTAAGTATCTACCAGCTAATATATTGGTATTAAACGCTGAAAAAAGTAACATAACAGTTATCATGAATAAATCTGAATATATGGAAAAATCTTTGAATATGTTGATGGATGAAACTACATATAAAAAACTAAAAAAAGATCCAACAGTTACAATTCAGAACAAAAATAAAAAGATGATTGGATAAAGGATGGTTTTATTGGTGACGAACAGGGAAAAAAACTAAAAACAGGTGATCCAAATACTCCAAAGATCTATTTTCAACCTAAAATACACAAAAATAATATACCTACCTTTAAGACCTATTGTATCGTTTATAGGGTCACCTTTGTATTCTCTAACTGATTTTCTGGCCTCTGCCTTAAATGGTATGTTTGTCAAGAATGAAAGCTATGTTCGTAACTCTTTTGAGTTTGTTTCAAGTATCAGAGATGTTATACTTCTAAATGACTATGAAATCATCTCTTTGGACGTGGTTGCGTTGTTCACCAATGTTCCGAAAGATATAGTGGTAAACATAGTCAAGAAGAAATGACATCTTGTAGAGAATAGGGTAAAGATTCCTTTGGATAGATTTGTTGAACTGTTAATTTATGTTTTTGATAATAATTATTTTCAGTATCACAACAACTTTTATAAACAAATATATGGTCTGGGAATGGGAATTGTTTGTCACCAGTTTGTTCAGATTTATTAATGCAAGAACTGCAGGACCAATCTATTAAAAATCTTCCTTTTCAATTAGCGTTTTACAAAAGATACGTGGATGATATTATAACTGCAATTCCCAAAAATCAAGAACAAGCTGTAATAGACATATTTAATAGTTACCATCCCAGAATGCAGTTAACAATAGAGAAAGAGAGGGACAACAAGATAGCATTTCTTGATGTGCTTCTAATAAGACAGAAACAAATTATTGAAACTGACTGGTACCATAAACCAACCTTTTCAGAAAGAATTCATAATTATTCATCTCAACACCCACTCAAGCATATGATAAATATCATTAATAATCTTAATCTTGGTGTCATTATGACACATTTAGCATTGTCATTTGAATGACATTAGGTTCTTCATAATAGCCCTAGTGCGTTTAAGAATTCATAAAAACACTCAAATTATGAAATGATAAATATACAAAAAAAAAAGTTAGTTACCAGAAGAGCCTTTTCATTGATGCTGTCTCGATATACGAAGAGACACTTTCGAACTCAGAATCACCAATGGTCGCGTTCCTAAGCACTCAACATGTTGAGTGATTAGTCAGCGGCTATGTTGAAAACAGATGATAATCAGCTCTAAGCCAATGAAAACATTTCTACCTTGTGCATTTCACTAGCTGGAACAAAGCCGCTCACTAATCGCTCAACATGTTGAGTGCTTAGGAACGCGACCATTGGTGAT